ATAACGCTAAACCTGTGTATACCAAAGAACGTAATGTTCCGTTTGCCCTTAGATCTCAGGTTGAGGAAGAACTCAACAGTCTTGAATCATCCGGCATAATATCTAAAGTCGATGCTAGCGATTGGGGTTCGCCTTTGGTAGTTATTCCTAAAGAAAATGGCACAGTGAGGTTATGCGTCGATTACAAAACAGGCGTAAATGATCGTCTTGTTTCATCTAATTTCCCGATCAAACACATTCCAGATGTTTTACACTGTTTGCGAGACTCTAAATATTTTTGCAAGCTTGATATTTACAAGGCTTATTTGCACATTCCAGTTGATGCCCCAAGCAGCAAAATTCAAACTATTACTACACACCGCGGTACATACTTGATGCACAGACTTAGTTTTGGAATCAAGACCGGGCCTGCCGAATTCAATCGCATTCTAAGCCAAATTCTAAACGGGTTACCAAAGACTGAAGTTTATTTTGACGACATAATCGTGCACGGTACAACAAAAGATGAATGCTACAATAATTTACGGTTGTGTCTATTCCGTCTACATGCGAACGACTTGCATCTAAACAAAGACAAATGCAAATTCTTTTGCGAACAGATTGACTATCTTGGTCATGTGATTAAGTACAATCAAATTTCAAAAAGTCCAGAAAAGATTAAAGCTGTTTGTAATATGCCTCAACCAAGGAATATTGATGAGGTCCGGAAATTTCTTGGAATGGTTACCTACTACGCTCGGTTCATCCCAGACCTATCTACAAAAACAACACCTCTTCGACAGCTTCTACAGAAAAATAGAAGATTTCATTGGTCAATAGATTGTCAAACTTCATTTGATTGTCTCAAAGAGGAAATAACTTCTAAAAGAGTTCTAGTACCATATGACCCCCATCGTCCAATCGTTCTAACATGTGATGCCAGTCCTACCGGAATTGCAGCTGTAATGAGTCACATAATTGACGATGAAGAGAAACCGATCGCTTACGCATCCAGATCCTTAACTCCATCAGAGCGAAATTACAGTCAGCTCGATCGAGAAGCTCTTGCGATCGTGTTTGGAGTCAGTCATTTTTACAATTATCTGTATGGACTTCACTTCACCTTAATTACAGATAATGCCCCTCTTTCAAGAATTTTCCATGAAAGCAAATCCTTACCACCCATGACTTCCAGCCGTCTACTCCGTTATGCTTCTTTTCTATCAGGGTTTAACTATTCAATACGTTTCAAGAAAGGGGAAGCAAATGCTAATGTTGATTGTTTATCCAGAGCTCCAGTGACTCAACATTCTGAAACCTTAGACATTTTCCTAAACAATGAAGTTACCTTGCTACATTCAGAAACAATTTTTGAAATATCATCTGAACATTTAAATGCAACTATTCTAGCCCGGGAAACTGAAGCTGACCAAAATCTTAGAGAAATTAAAAGGAAACTTTTGTCTTCTTCTGCTGACCTACCATACACATTGGACAACGGAGTACTTTTCAAGGAAACTCGTGCTGTCATTCCTAACAGCCTTCAACCTCAAGTCTTACAGCAACTACATGCTACTCACATTGGTATTACAAAGATGAAGCAATTAGCCCGAAGATACGTTTATTGGCAAGGGATTGACAAGGACATAGAGAAATTAGTCCAATCGTGTGAAATTTGCGCCCACATAAAATTCAATCCTCCCAAAGCACCCCTTCATCCATGGGTAGAGCCAGAAAAAAATTGGGAGCGTATTCATATAGATTACGCGGGGCCTTTTCAAAACCACTACTTTCTTGTTTGTGTGTGTGCCAAGTCAAAGTGGGTAGAAGTTAAAGTATTGAGAAATGCTCCTACAACTTCTAATACTATTATTCTTCTCGACAACATTTTCTCATCTAATGGCTATCCTCAAGTGATGGTATCAGACAATGCCACAATTTTCACCAGCGCAGAATTCAAGAAATACTGTTCATCCAATGGAATTTTTCAGAAACTGATTGCACCTGGACATGCAGCTACAAATGGTCTTGCTGAAAGAACTATCCAGACTTTGAAGCAAAGATTAAAAGCATTGGAAGATGACCATCGTCAAATACATACAAAGGTTCAAGAGATTCTTCAACAATATCGCGCCACTCCTCTCTCAAATGGACAATCACCTGCAGAACGATATCTTCATCGTAGGATCCGCATCAAGCTGGATGCTCTTCAACCTTACCATCCGGCAAAGTATCCTCCTTCGATAATAAGAGTTCGAACATTCAATGTGGGGGAGAGAGTTTTCATTAGGGAGTATTCACAAAATAATAAATATATATGGACATTTGGTGAGATTATACAGAAACTAGGGACTCTTCACTATATTGTAAGGTTAGATTCTGGAAGAACACTGAAACGTCATCTAGACCAACTCCGGAAAACTCAAGTAAAGAAGGTTCGTTTCAACGAATGTGAAGAAGTACCTAATCAAATTCCACAAGTTCCAATGCAAGTACCCATACTCCCGCAACAGCAAGTCCCTATGCAAGTTCCCGTATTACCAAGACAAGTTACAGAATTAGTCAGATTACCAGCTGAAGAGAACTTACAACCAACATCACCACGACCACGAATACGATGTTCAACCCGCACTCATAAAGCTCCAGATTACCTTAAAGACTATGTTACAAAATGAGTTCAAAATAAGTGGGGGAGATTGTAGTATTCTTTATACTGTATATTATCAGCTGTTGTCATTAATTACAAAACAATGTTTACCTTTTCAATTTGTAATTGTAAATATTACTTTTCAATAAAAGAGTTTATTCAAATGCGTGCTTATTATGAACTCTAATTCAAAGTCACAACAACTATGGTGCGAGAAGATGTGTTATCCCTGATATCTACAAAGAATTAGGAGTTCGAACTGCTTTCCCTTCAATACGTTTGTGATACTTTCAACAAAATTCTCTTGCGTGGATACTATAAACAAAATTGCTGCTAAAATCACATAGGGAAATAAATAAAAATGAGGCTATTGTTTGATCTTAATTACTAGGTATCCAGCTACTATATACCTAGCATGGCCCGGGGGTCGCAGACAGCCTAGACAGACAGGGCTGGGGTCCGCCAGTTTGGGCCCCGCTACTACGGGGGCCTCCTCCATGATAACCTCCCCTGCCACCAGGTCTCGGGAGGCTACGAGGTAGCGGCCAAGCTCCTTGCTCACCTTTACCTGTGAGTTTACAACGGGAAAATCAGTTTATTGTGAACAAAGACATTTTGATGTTAATTTTACTGTGTTCAATTATATATCTCTTTTGTAGTTATTTATTTGTGTAACTAGTGTGCGAAGTAGCACTTTGCGCTCACGTTACACATTATATTTTTTCTACTGTTACTATACAGCATATTTATAATTATTAGTCTTCCAAATAATATACTAGGTTAGATTAGATCAAATCGTTGAATGAAATGGGAAACACTGCAACAGCTGATCGTAGTTGTAGTATCTTTAAGTGTTGCCAGCTTATTTTCAAGCTTACACATATTACATGCCTAATAAAAGCACACTGTTTTGTGTTGTTTGGTTGGAATACTGGAGTGCGGCAAAAAAATGAGTAAGTGCAAAAGTAAGTTAAGCCCACTTTGTCAGGTAACAGTAGGAAAAATATTCATAAAAGTATTCTGAATAAAAAAACTAATATATTCAAACAAATAGAAGAAAACAATATAGACTCAGGGTTTTTAACTTGTTTAGATGATGTTCAATCTTAGAAACCCAAATAAATAAATAATCCTGAATTCCTAAATTTACTATAGCCTCAAAGAATTAAGGTACAGAGAAAACACGCTTATGGAACGACCGTTAGCTTTAAGCTGTGGTATGTTGTGTCGGAAATATATTTGAGCAAGGAAAAGCCCAAATGGCGAGCACTGTACCGAAATTTCTATTGCACAGGACACAGGGTCTTCTTCAACCGTGAGCGTTGTAGTGCATGAGGGCAAGGAGGGGTAGTGTTTGACTTTACTCTAGACACCAATGAATAGAATCATTGAATGTTTCCTCTGTAACTTACTTCTCTGTTCTAGTGGGCTATATAGCTTGCAGTTTGTTTTAATACACTAAACAAATATGGATTATGGATGTATTTTATAATAACACTATTTTGTTTTAACTCCAGTCACATAATTTTACCTGTTGAATAGGCCTAGTACAATATTTTTAAAATATGATTAAGAACACACGTCCCTCTCCCAAACTTTTTTGTCGGGATATCCATATAAGGCTTTTAGTGGTTCCTTATGACAAATTTTTGCAGTTAATTATTTGTTGGCCAACTTGAGTCAAGAAGTATTTTTTTTTTTTTTACTGTATTTTAAGTGCTTTAAAAAATGTATGAACTAACATCTGTCTGCATCTGAGACATCGGCAGTAAGCAATCAAGACCAATAAACGTTTATTATCATTATTAAGTGATTTAAACTATTGTAACCTCGTAAGGCTTGCACTGCTGCTTGTGTTTGGGCCAGTCATGTTTCTGGTGCTCCTTGCTGCAGTAGGACACAGTTTTGCAGGAACTGCAGGTGAGAGGCCCTTTCTGTCTGCAGACGACGCACAACGGATCACTTCCTCCCATCATACAATGGAATATTGACTATCTACTTTGGACACACAATGCTATGAAGCAACCACTTTACTATCACCTTCTACTGCCGCTAAAACAAACTGAGACTGATTTATTTTTAGACTGCACCGCGTTCTGTCTTTGAACTGCTGGGGTATTTTTAAACTATATCAGGTATTGGGCTGGCATTTTTTTAAACGTAGTAAAATTAAATTTTTTTTTATATTTGAAAATTTTGATTGGTTGAATAAAATCATTTCCGAAACAGTTTCAAGTTTCAAGTATTATGATGATAACATGTTTTATTATAAAATAAAAAGTAACCTCATTAAAATTAACTGGATAGTGGATGGATAAAAAACTGACAATTTACTCAAAGACAAGAAGTATAATTTTTTATATGTGATAATAAATTACTAAATAGTAAATACAAAGATTTATTATTTATTTCACTATATTCCAATCATTTCTTAGTAGCCACAGTGGCAAATTAAATTTACCAATTATGATAACAACAAAGGATGCTGTAATAAAACTAATTAAAAACAACACACATTTTATTAAATAACAAAACAACTTCCTATATATACAATAATTACAATACAAATCTAAAAACTAATTTAAGAATTGTGATGAAAACGGTTTTTACGGTTAAGAAACAAATTAACCAATTGTCTTGATTGGTTTTTAATAACAAAGGAAATTTCCAAATTTCAAAAAACAATATACAATTCATCTTCATTGGCCATGAACAAATTTGTTCAAATGAGTGTACAATCTTTCACTCCATTCTCGTTTTTATTATCCCAATGTTCTCTTGTTAATGAGTGGTCTATTGTTTATAAAGTTCCCAATATTGTTATTTGGATCTTCCTAGCTTTTTTTTCCCAGATTTTTTAAAATGAACTTATATGTAAGCTTTGTTAGTATATTTTTAATGTCCATGAAGTGATCTAGTTTGAGTTTGTAGGTATAAGTTACTTTCTTACAAAACGTATTTGATGTAGTACTAAGTATTTTATTTATTATTACAACACTTACTATTATTACACTGTAATCAGTTTTTACGTCTTTTAAACTTTAAATCTCCTACGCACACATATTTCGCATCACCAGTCGAGAGATCAATCCGCGTGGAAATGTTGCTCCGCTTCGGCCTCTCGCCACGAGTTCTGCACAGCTTCTACAATGTTGTGCCACATGGGAGACTTGGCCACGCCCACTCCCCCCACAACAGCTATGACGAGCCACGCCAGACCGAGCCAGTAGTCCGTCTCCTTGGCCACCACTGAGGGGACGGGACCTCCGAAGTCCGCTGACGTCACAAACATCTTCTCCTCTGGTGGGATACCTGAAACACCATCATACAGTTGTGGAGTCACGTGACGAGTCAATGATTTTACAATAGGTAACAATAATTGTACAGTTTTGCTTTGTGAAAATGAGTCTCAAAAACAGACAACTCTACCCACTTGAAGACTTATCTTTTAGATGATAGAGATTGAATCAAATTTGAACAAGTCATACACTATCTTACTCTGTCTGGTTGGGTTTATAGATGGTTAGCCCGGTAAACAGAAGGTTGCTGAATCGATCCTTTGATGGTTCAAACTGGACCCAATTGTCCCTGGACCTTGACCATTTGGTTTCTAATAAATAGTCCAGGATAAATAAGCAGCTAATCATAGTCAGTACGGTACATACATTATCTCAATCTCAACACTCTACACTCACCCAACATCCCTCACCTTGAAATATGTACACAAAGTATGTGCCTTCATGAAGTGATTAATTAATTCATACATGGATCTACACATTTAGGTGAGCTAAGATCAAAGACACTGCATCATTGTGGGCTAAATACCCAACTCATAGGTGTCAGGAGTTTAACTTTTCAAGCTGTATAACTAATTAACATGTTTATTTATTTCCATATTTAATTTGTTTTGTGTTCAATAGCAACATACCTGAGTGTCTGGTGATGAACCTCGTGAACATCTCCAGTGTATGTTCACTGTCGTTGAACTTGGCTGCAGGTCTGCCATTGTGGAACAGCATCACTGTAGGAACCCCGACAATGCCATATTGTGTGTTGAAACTGTAATTGTAACATAATTAGTTCAAATTTGAAAAATTACCATATAGAAAAATATGTGATTGCTCAACTAAGCAATCAGACTAGGTTGGTTTATGTGGCCAAATAGGTATCTGACCATTTACTAGGTCCCGTGGTGGCAGGATAAGAGGGGTTCTACTGTAATACTACATTTTTCAAAATTCAATTTTTTTACTGTTTAATGGCATGTAAAATATTAATAATAGGGACACTCTTTTATCAGACATCTTAGAAAAAGCAAGATTACAATCATTTTTTTGTAGTTTAAAAATCTTTTTTGAATAAGGAGAGTTACCCCAGATCAAGATACCATCATTAATGATGAGAAATATGCATGATATATTATTAGCTGGGTTTCTAGATTCGTTACTTGTGAGATTATTCTTATTGAGAAAATGCAAGGGTCTAATTTTTTACTTACATTTTCAATTTGAGATGCCTAGTTAAGATTTTTATTCAAAATTAATCCGAGGAATTTTACATTTTGTTGTGGAGATAATTGATGATTTGAAAGGTAATGTGATTTGAATCATCTTCCCTGTAGTTAGCCGAAAAGTTTATTGTTGAAGAAAGTCTATTTCTTCAATAATACAAAAGTGTTGTAATTTTTTTTATATATATAGTATGAAATCAACACATAATCGCTTTACTTTATACCAAGCAAAGCTTAAGCATGTGCTTACGTCTGATACTGCAGCGCATTTACAGCAGCCATCTTGATAGCAGGGAATGCGCGAGGTAGAGCATTAAAGTGTGGAGCCGCCATGCAGCTGAATGGACAAGTCCGAGCGTAGAACAGCAACACGGCACACTCGGCCTTCTGACTGCGACTGGTGATGTTGAGATCAGATGTCAACAGGGTTACCAACCGGGTAGAGTTTACCAGCTGTTTTGGACAAAAACTAATTGTTTATTACTAGGGTAGTGAGAAATTAAGTAAATAAAGTATTATTGAAAGGATAAGAAACTGAGGTGTGGAGTAGTCATTACATTAGGAATTAATTCTAAAACTAAGCCTTATTTATTATCACAGCCCAGGAGGTGGACAAATTATAGCCTATCATTGATTGTGTACGGAAGGAAGAAGAGTTATAAAATTCAAGTACGGTAATCAATCTTAATAAAGTTAAAACCCACAAATAGTAGGCCTACCCTGGGGTAGTTTTACTTCAGAGCGTAGGTTTGATTTAGTGGAAAATGTTCATTAGTAAATGTGCACCATAGGCCTATTGTTGATTCTTACAACATTGATTAAATGACTTTGATTTGCAAGTGATGGTAGGCCTGTTAAGATTGCAAACTTTAAAATAATGAATATATTGCAACAATCATAAAAATCTTTATACAACAATTTCTTAATAATTTCAAAATGTTCATTGAATTATTTTGCAAAAACATTAAAATATATTTAAATAGGCTTATACCTACCATATATTGATTTATGAAAAAGTTTTTTGAGTTGTTTTCAGGTTGTAAGGAAGAAAGTGTTAGTTTTTTTATATTATTTGCAATTAATAATAGGCCCACAACTTAAGTTTATCCCTTATAAATTCATAAAATTTTCATTAAACTCCTTTTTCAATAGGCTAATTGAGGAAGTATTGCTATCTGATATTGTTAATTATTATTACAACTAAAGTAACCTCGTATGAATTCATAAACTATTAGTTGAGGAAGTATTATTATGTGATAGGTATTGTTAACACACTCGCTGCTGAAAACCTTTACACAGGCGCTCCCTAAACTGCAGCAAGGCCCGGGCGGAGCCCCGGCACGCTACTGAATCAGTCATCGCTATTGGCATTGAAATATCTCAGTAAGACGAATCACAAAAGAGCAGTGGTGTTTCTTCTGCGTTACCCCGAAAGTGGACATAGTTCACTGAAACACCCAAAGGGAGCAGCACTGCCTGGATCAATAACCAGAGTCTTTGTAATATGGCTCGAATAGAGAAAACCCCCAAAAACGGGACAAAAACATTGCCAGACGGGATTTTACGGGAATGTTTAGTACCAACCTACACCAAAATAAAGCTCGTATTCTAAGCTACAGCCTGGCAACAATCACATTGTCACCAGCCAAGTGCTGGGCTCAGACAGACGCAATATTTGGCAGGAGAGCACACTACTGATATAGCAGTAGGCCGCGAGCAGTGCCAGTGCCGCACTACTGCTATAGAATTAGGCCGCAGCGAACGTGTTAATTATTATCATAGGGTCTACCAGTAACTTAAGTGACCACTTATAAAATTTCCAAAAATACAAAAATTGAGTTTAACAACCTAGCCAATGTTATTATTGTCTGACTGATACCTCCACTGTGAGGGATCCTGCTTGTCTCTCCATCTTGCAGTTGACTACGGACGTGGCGTTGTGTTCATCCTCGCTGTCTGACACTGGTGCTCCCGCCACAGGCACAACTGACGTCTGGTTGTCAGCCACTACAGGGCTGTTTTGAGGGCCAGGGTCCAGCGGGGCCTGTGGTGCTTCTGCCTTCTCTGGGGTCCAGTACGCCTCATCGTCCATCTTTCTCTATAACAAAATTTTATGGTACTTTCTTTCAAAGGTAGTGAAATTTATTAATAGCCAAAATGAATATCATAATTTAAGGCAAAGTTTGAAATAAGCTGTTTTCCACTATTTTGAAGACAGAAAAGTAAGTTTTTGCAGGCCGAGCAAGAAAGCAGGAGTAAGCAGACGTTTTTACCGAGATGTTTTTAACTTGTTATCTCTGGGATTCTTTTCTAGGTTGGAATAACTTGTTTTCTGAACCTACAGCATTGATAGGGAGGTTGAGCGTTCCTTGGAAGCAATGAGCTTTACTAAACCAGCCACAACAACCGTGTGATTAGTTGTACCTACCAGTAGTTACCTATTGGAAATTCAAATGGGACAGTAGATCTGTCTCATGGTAGCAGCTAGCAGAATCTCAATCTATGAAGCGTCATAGTCAATGATAGCTGACTAACAATGTGTCCTGAATTAAAACGTTATGTAACTTAAGGTTGGTAGGCATCGTAACACAGTGCCGTATTTACGCTCCGTATCATAAAAAATTGTATTTTTTACCTTGTTTACCTCCTTATATATGATAAACTAAGCAACTAACTGGGCTTACACTTATATCACCCACCAAGCTATAATTTTTAAAGTGTGTAACACCTAGGGTTGTATTAGCCTAATGAATATAAAAAGAGTACCTGATTAAATTAAATACCTACATGGAATTCCTTGATGAATTTACTGACTGACGCCACATCTGAAGGGCCACTGTCCAAGTCTGTTTCATCTTTAGCTGGGGTATCAAGGTTTGTGTATTCTTCATGTGATGAATCAAGATCAGCAATTCCAAAAGAAATTAAGGCTGCAAAAAACAACAGAAGTGAATTTTCAGTGGATCCATGAAATTAATTCGAAAGTGTTGATAGTAACGGGACATTCTCTATTGATGGTTTTGTTCAAAGTAATTTTTAAAGTCAATTAGGCCCATGATTAGCATGTGACTCGCTATGGACCCAAGGAAGAGATAATTACGCCCCCTCCCATCTTCCTTGCAAAGGAATTTTTTTTCTTGCCTTGCGCCCCCAACAAACCATAAAACCTCTTGCACTGGACAAAGCGGCTCTGAAATCATCAATCAAGTAAAAATAGTTGTTAAATGTTATCCCGATATATCTAAAAACAATCTGCAGCAATTAACTAAAAGTTAATATACACTCAAAAGATTAACATAAGAGATAGGGTAATGCATTTCAAAATGTTAACATCACTGTAACCAATAACCAGCTAACTAAGTAAAAATATTTAGCCTATAGGCCTAGCCTACTTAACTTATAAATTTTGGATAATTATTATTTTTTGTAATTTGCTTATTCCTTTTTCTCTAACTTAGGCCTATGAGCTGTGTTATTTCTTAAGGGGCGGTTTGGGTAGGCCTATATTATTAGCACTAGTCCGGGACTAAGAACCGGATATTTCCGGTATTTTAAGCTGCCACCTAGAAAACGGGTTTGTGAGCTTGAAATCAGTTAGGCACCCGCCTAAGTTGGAGAGGGATAATCTCGTGCCTAAATATTGTTGGTTTGGGAGTCTAGTAGACTTAGGCACCAGCCTGAGATATAATCTCGGTGGGTTTGGGAGACCAATTTCGGGACTAAGAAATATATTTATTTTCTCCTTAAAAATTAGTGAGTTTAGGCTGTAACTTAAGTCCTGCCAGGGAGGCAGGTTTAAGAGGACATCATCTCAGTATTACCTCATTAGCATGTTTATTGTTTATTAACTAAAGAATGTTATATTGGTATGCATTAATAAATTCTGAACAATTTCATTACTTAATACTTTATTAACCAAAAACTATGTTGTTTTTGTTTTTACTGTTTGCTGTAAAACGAATATGGGCTTTAACTGGAATTTTTTAAACTGAGAGTTGAACATCCTTACCTTAATTATAAATATTTTATTAGCTATGAAAAATGAGCCAATGAATACATTCCCCCACACCCACCCCTCCTCCCTAAGAAAAAGTGAAGGGATTGTAAACAAAACATTAAAAAAAAATGCACACAAGCGCTGTACAGTCATTATCGATTGTTTCAGTTTTACTCTCGTTGCATTGTGACTGAGCTGACTAGCTGAGTGTATTGTCATTGGAAGCGGCTAGAAACATCAAAATGGAGCACCTCGATTATTTGGAGTAAAAAAAAAAATAAAAAATAAATATTTTATATCAAATATATAGGCCTATATAGAAAAAGTATCATGTTTAAAATTTAAAAATTTTCCAATTTGAGCCCATTCGGTCCAGTAGTTTTTGTGTTTTAGTTAAGCTCTTGCAAACACACAGACAGACAGACACCATCCTTGGTGATGGGACAACCAACTGGAAAAAACAATCGACTAGTCAATCGGTCGTTTTTAAAACTAGTCGGTTTTTTCAGTTGAATGAAAAACCGAGTGAATTCCACTACAACTGGTAGTGTTCAATCAGCGCAATGGATTCAGTCATTGCAAGGAAAATAATCAATCACATTATTACTGGAAACTTTTGAGTCTTTGTTGTTGATTTATTGTGTTGTCTTTTGTATGTTGAAGTTTTATAAGTATTATTACTAGGCCTAAATAACATTTACATAGTTCATACAGGACAAGTTGTAAATTATTCAGTAGTCCTACTATCTCAAACCAAACTCAGTAAAACAAATATTCCTATTTGTTTATTACCTGGTTATGGCTTTTGACACAGATACAGTATGACTGTATTAGTCATTTACATCTAAATCATGAGTACTTAAAAAACTTAACTTGGATATTAAACACTTTTAAAGACATAAAAAATTCACATATAATTACATTATTTTAATTATTCCTCAGAATTATACCTAAACACTGTTCACAATTTGTCTACAGTACGAGCTTATCTACAACAGTTTTCATCCACAAGTCAGTCTCAACAACAGTCAGTTCAGTGGTTCTTACGACCTAGTTTCAATCACCGATGTTTTACTGTTTCCCTGAGTTATTCCAACAATTGGTTGACTGGTTCCAGTCGCCATAGGACCGGGAGTATGAATTGACTAGTTACAATCATATCCGGGAGAACAACCGACTAGTTGGTTGTTTTTCCAACAATCGGTGGTTTTCAATCAGTTGATCTCATCACTACCCACCTCTTCTCTATAAAAGTATACGGTTTTTCAGTCATTAATAAGTAAAACACACAACATTTTTGCATTGGTACAACACAGAAACTTACACCGTATAATAGGCTAATAGGCTACTAATTAGCCATCATTGATATACCAAGATAGAATTGTAATCATCACCAATAATTTTTCATTTTTTATTGTTGTTGACATTTACATGTTCTGCAGTGACTGTTGCGAGCCCCAAAACCTAAATTCCCTGACAATCTAGCTGCGCTGCGACTTAGTCGCGATTATACTTGCTCTACGACCATTAGGCCTACAACTTAGGTTCCGCTCCCAAGCCTGGTTTTGGATCCGCGTACTAAAGTTAGGCGCGTCTTCCACTGGGCGCGTACTAGCTGGACTGAACTCGAGCTCCCAAAACGCCCCTAAATGTTATAAAATAACAAACCATATCATAACTTATTAATTTATTTATAGTAATTTATTGGGCCATATAAACACCAACACATTTAGCATTCACTAAGTCAATATAAGTTAGGGTAACAACGACTCAGTTAAGTTAAAAAAATTTTTATCGTTTAAAGTTATCCACTTCCAACTATAAACTTATATTGGCTATTAACCCTTTCAGTGCTATGAAACGATATATCGTTGTTTTAAAAAATCTCTAAGGGATATAGAGAGGAAGGTTATTTTAACAAAAAATAGCAAAACGGCCATTGGTGACCTGCATGTTCATAGGATACACTATCAACCACTTAGCTAAAAGATTCGCCCAATCCGATGATTTCGAGGTGTATGTCTAAACCAAGGATTATGAACACCTCACTATGCCCCAGTGGTTGTAAGTATATCGCTACAAACACACAGGTCACCAATTATTTGCCACACAGGACAGGATACGAACCCGAGCAGACGAATGCCACTGGCCAAGTGACACACGCCCTAGCCTTCTCCGCTATCTGTGCTTGAAGACTGGGGAGTCAAAACCCGGTATTTAAACTGTTGCCACCGATTGCGAACAGATGGCGCTGCAGATGGTTGTTCAATGCGTTACTAGGTAGCAGCACCAGTTAGTCACGGACTATTTAGATGCAATCTTTTAGTTTAAACACAACAGTGATCATAAATGTGTTCCTGAGACTTTGCTGCAAAACATTAGTTTCCTTAAAATGGCTATATTACGATAACCTCGTCCAACTAAATCAAGGTTAAATTCAATATTACATTGTAAACTATATGTCTTTTGATTTAATGAGATTTTGGTTTCAAATAATGCTATCAGAACATAAAAATTTATAGGAAAACCAGGAAAATTACAACTAAAACTAAGTTTTATTTAATGTATACTACAAATAGCGGGATTTATCTTTCTTATATATTTTCTTATTGTCTTATTATTCAAAATTAGCCTAATTAATAAAATAGTGACAACATGACAGTTAAAATTCAACAACAGGTAATGGAATTAAAAGGCAAACAAAAATCTTACAAAATAGAAATTATTGGGCTAGCACTGAAAGGGTTAAGCAGTTTACAAGGAATGAGTTATGATGAGAGAGCCCACTATTTTTTTTTTACTTTGATTGACTTACCAAAGAAAATGAATCCTCTTAGCAAAATGAAAACCTTCATATTTCTTCTTTGGCTGTAGTCTATGATATATCTACCTGTAACAGAAATGATTGAATAGAAAACAATGTAAAGCTGAGATAGTTAAAATACCAGTAACAATGTGATAAACCCGTTTAGCTATCTTCGACCGTGAGTGTGATGTTCATAACAACCTGGACTAAACATACATCTAATAGGCCCTAGGTCTAACTTATTGGGATTAAGTAAGCCTACACAGTTAAATTTGGATGAACTGGATTAAATCTAAGTTATACATCTAATATGCAAGCTTTATAAAAAAAAAAAAAAACAACAAGATTCATTATTTTAACATAAAAAACCCACATTGATAATTTCTTCTTTCTAAAACGTTTTGATTTAGTATTAGTAGGCCTATCTATGGCCATAGATTAAGCATCTTTGAAAACTAACTTAGCAAACTTTTTAATTGTTGGAATCTAATTAAATGAGAAATTGTTAAACCTTTTCATGTACATGTTGACATCAATGAACCTAAAAATAACAATAAACAAAGAATAACTTCTTGATGTGAGACAGTGAGAGTGAATTTACTTCGCTGTTCGCCTTTAAAACTGAAAGTAAACATAACCTCAACCTCACTTTTAACCTCTAAAACACAACATAACAAACACTGTTTTTTACGACTGACTTGTGTTGCTATTTTGCAACGGGAAGTAAAAAGAAAAAGATAGTTTTACCATTGATTATGTAGCCTACTAGATAAATTGTCCAACAACCACCACAAACTCCAGGCTCAGACTCAGTCTCAGTCAGATCTCAGATGTGTTGTGCTATGTGATGTCGAGTCGATGTCTATTGTCGTCGGGGGGGTTGGTTGGATAAAAGTAAATATTTGTTTGAAGGTTAAAACGATCCTCGATCCTGTTTTCTTGGACTAATTTTTGCTCACCGGTTAGTTTATTTATTTTGATTATTAATTTGTTCTTTTAATTCATATTTAATATAAAATCACGTAGAAAGTTCTGTTTTATTTAAGTTACTGAACATAGAGTTTTTTGGTTATGTTCTCATGTTTATGTTAAAATCGTGGTTCAACTTAAGTTATAGGATGTCTAGTTAAAAATCAGCGTGAAACTGGCATTATAAAAGTTAACTTGTTAATTTTACCTAGTAACTTAAACATGACTTTAAAAACCTCAAGATTTTATAAATCTTGGTGGAGTAACTTAACTTAAGTTACTGTATTATTCCCAACTTAATTTAGAACACAAACATAGTCTTAAATAGGCTAGTGGTCTTCCAAAAATTTGTTTATAGCATAGGCCTACTCACACTGACTCGTTAACCCTAGAGAGCGCGCGCGGGGTAGTTTTTCTCCAGGTCCATTTTCAAATTGCGGCTGCACTTTAGGTCCTACACTCATTCGAATGAAAATATCGATTAATCGATTGTTTCATTCGATATATCGTTTCAAATCAAATGATATTTCGTCAAATGATATATCGAAAGAAACAATCAAATAATCAATATTTTCGTTTGAATGAGTGTAGGACCTAAAGTAAAGTGCAGCCCAAATTGCAGCCGACACGTAGGCCTGATAAGCTTTTCTATTGCTTCCTCCCCCTCAATACCTTCAAGTCAACTTGTCCACTGTCTGACCTTGAGGTTTGGAGGCGCCAATCAGCAGGAGTGTGTCCTTGGCAGTCGTCACGTAAACAAGACCCTACATTGTTTTGGAGACTTTTTGCCCCGCGCGCGTGCTCATGCTATACATTCAGAGTTCGTGAATTGGGCGAATTACTAATTATGTATTAGTTCGAAGATGTCAATGAGTGTGTTATTTGTGCATATTACCACGATATTACACTAGGGCATGAATTTCTGTTGCCTTATCTTCAATCCAGAAGTCAAATAGTAACGCTATGTGACTTCTGTCCATGAAGTTAAGATACAAAGACGACAAAAATCTGCAACAATTGTGGAAAAAGTATTTGTAAGGACCATCATGTGGAAACTTACAAGGACTGTTTTTACGTGTAAAACCAGACTTTTTAAAGATAATTAAAGGTTTAAAATGTCATTTATTTGTGTTTTGATATTTAAATTCATAGTTTAAGTATATTTTAATCAAGTATTATGTTGTTTTATCATTAAAATCCTAAAATACCCCCGCCGCAGCAAACCTGCAGACTTAGCGAATTTCCATTTGCCTGATTGGATTTAAACTAAAATGTCTCCTTAAAAATATCACATGTATTCCCTATTTGGTTTGCTGCAACAGGGAGGGTAAAAAAGTTTTTTTTTTCATGTAAAATGTTAAAAGGTTCTGTGGTTTAGTAAGAAATTAATGTATTTTCCAAATTTGATCAAAATATGTTCATAAACAAGCAAACTATAACAGTTGACTTATCCTCCATAAGAATAACATGGGAATTTTAAAATTAAATTTTTTTTGAATTTTCTCCGTAACAATTAGGCGCATAATAACGCTTCAATATACTAAATTATTTGTTTTTTTAAGCTCTACAAAATGGTTTAAAAATAAATTGTGAAATTTTGTGTTTTTAGGGTCAAAAATGGGAAAAACCTATTTTTACCCCATAAAACCCCGTTCCCATAGTCCGATCATGCTGGTTCGCGAACTCATTTAAGTTTATCCCGCCTTACACCTTAAAACCAAATTTTATCAAAATCGGACAAAAATTACTCGAAAGTTATCGTGCGGATGGACACATATATATATATATATATATATAAAAATTTGAACGAATGGTGTTTTTGGCCTCTGGGGACATCAAAATGAAAAAGTAAATCGGTCCCGGGCCTAGGTCTTATCATGAGACCTACGGTAATAGCTACTTCCCTATAGGGAAATTCGCTAAAAACACAATGGGGTAAAAAATTACCCATTGTGCGTTCTTGTGTTTTGACGATAGGCGCACGCTCTCCAGGGTTAAGCCTACAGCTTACAGGAAACAAGCATTGCTGTTATCAATTTGTCATTGGAGGTCAGTTTTTGGGGTTTGATCCCTAAGTTACTCTTTGGAGAGCATACACTTTGTAAATAGCCTAATTATTGTAGGCCTACAATTTGCTACGATGTTGAAAAAGCTATGAAAAACTAACCCAAGACTATGCAAAACTCTTGCTTAGTGTGTAAATAGTGATGGCCTCGGCCTACAATTTTGTTTATTTAGCCTCTGATTAGATAGGCCTAAGTTTGATCCCCCCCAAATTCGTTTTACCCATGCCTGGAGGTCTGTGGGCTAACCCATAAGTTAGTTATAGGCCTACTTAACGTTTGGGGGGGGGGGTGCCCCGACATAGCCTATTTAAATTACGCTGCAAATTTATGTAGTAGCAAACTATTGGTTAGTTTAATTTTACTTCAAATGAGCTGGATTTTCATCAAATACCTGGACAGTTTGCTTTCACCAGTAGCCCCGTGTGAAAGGGCCCTTAGTTCTGCTATGAATCACTTCTATAGCCATTGAAGGAAGTAGTCTTTGTACAAATTTCTCACTGAACCTTAATACTGACACTAGCAACAGTGTAGGAGTGCTGGGTCTATTCTGGTCAGGTTGGCTTGATCCACTTCCAATATACCTTAGGATGTGCCTTAGGATACCCTCTTCACTTGTAGGTACCTCACTCTGTTATTAGAGGGTGAGGACAGGCTGAACTGTTTGTGTGTTCCTGTTTGTGTGACTCTCCTGCCCATGAAAATCTATCTATTTTGTTTAGGCTACACTGACATTTTTTTAGGTTTAAATGCCAGATATCTGCAATGGGAATGCTAAAGACTGCAGTCATCATCAGCTTACCTATTCTTGGAGTTTGTGCTACCGTTTTATATCTGTTGCATAAAAAGGTAAGTCAAACTATTTTACCAGTAGACATACTAGAACTGCTAAATTGAAATTGAATACATAAATTTAGTTTAAACTAAAATAAGTTTCCGGTCTAGCATTTTAAAATGTTAATTTATCTCTTTATTTGCTGAAAGGAATTAGGACAGAGAATGAATTGTTGGATAATAATTTACAATCTAGCCTACACATTTCAGTTTGTTTTATTATATTTTTTATTTGACTGCATTGTAGGAAGATGAGGATCTTCAGGACACCCTGCAAGATGTGCGGACTTCTCGGGTTAAAGTTATTGAAATGAAAATACCAAAATCTGTGGTTGGAGTTGTCATTGGTCGGGGTGGAAGTAATGTGAAGGATATTCAAGAAAAGACTGACACTAGGATATATTTCAAAGATATGGGTAAGTTTTGATTGTTGCGTTAATTTGTAGAAAGTAGCCTAATTTTATTTTGAATTTCCGTGGCTTGTTAAAAGTGATCTGGTACGGTACTAATCTGTTACATGATAAGATAAAAAAAATTAAGAGTACCATCATAATAGTATCTACGGCTACATTTTTTGATTCCTAGTTGTTTCATTGCTGTTTTTATTAAATGATTCAATGAGATTTTCCTATATGGACCTTTAAGAAAAAATTGTTAAGAGTTAGTGTTAGAAAAGTGCCGAAAGTCAGGGAAATTTCTTAAATTGGCTTTTGTCTAAAAAATAAGGAAAGTTAAAGGGAGGACCCACCATTGTAGTTTAGTTTGGCATCCAAATGCACTCGTTCATAGATTTGTTTAAGTCAGTGACAACAAATAGTGAAACTTTGTATGAGAATCGCCTAGAGGGGTGACTCCCTTCCCAATGGACTGTATTCTGAGAACATAATTCCAACTTGGCAGGAGCCTTCTTTACCCTCAAATTTTTATTGGTTACTCAAGCTAGAATAATTTTTGATTAGGACGTGAAACTGGCTGAAAAATAATCAGAGAAGTAAAGAACAGGGTGTTTTAAAACAGTCTAGTCAAATTAAAAACTGATGTCGGATTTCAATTAGTCCTACTGTATCTCGTTTGACTATGACTGTAGAGTTTGATGACCTTAATTCACAGACAACGTCCATAGTTATTTTCATTTTATTTTTACCATTAGACTGGAAGATGTTTTTGTAATTGATAGTTCCATTCTACTAGTTGAAAATTAAGACTTGCCTACTACAGTACCAAGAAAATGTTTACTGTCCATGCAATTGTGCTCTAGTGATTTTTTATAATTTTAATCTATAATTAAGTAGGCTAGCCTCAAGCCTGTATTACTTTTCTAATTACTTGAAGTTTGAAATTCAGGCTATTTAAAGGATTCATTAAAAACATTACAGAAAAAGAATTATAACGCCGATAATTTAACCCTAAATAAGTTCCAAAATTGGTGCAAAAAATTGTAGGCCTACAATAAAAGATTAACAAAAAAACATAATAGGCCTAGTTAAAATAATAATTAAAAATCTGTGGTCAATAAAATTTTTAGCAATGGATCATGGAAGGTCAGGA